GCATAGTTTTTGGCAGCCCTGCCTCTTAGCTTCTCCTTTTCACATTTCTGTCATCTGTTGTCAGCCAAGGCTCTACTTTTAAGGCCAGTGCTTGTCTGGGTCCTCCCTCTGTAGCTCTTGCAACAGCCTCCTTGTAGTGCACATTCCCTCCTTATCTTAAACGCGGTGTACTCCTTGATTTGCTCTGGCTTTCCACAATTACTTTTGTCCTAGTATCTGATTCTTTACATGCCCTTCTTTTATATATCTGTTTTAATTCCTGTTTTAATCTTCCGCTTACAATTGTTTCAGTCTTTTTTGCCTCTATCCCTTAGTTTCCCTGACTCTTGAAACGTCTTCACTGGTGAAAACAGACATGCAGCTGTTCTATACTGAGTTAGGCTATTGTTCTGCCTAGCTCAGGATGCTACCTGGCTGCTACCTGATGCTTTTTAACTGGAGATGCCAGGGATTGAACTTTGACCTTCCTGCATTTAAAGCAGACACTGTCACTCAGCTATGCGGACTATGCACTGATATGGAGAAATTGAGGAAAACCTCCTCCAGTCTTTTAATTGAAAAACTAGAAATTTGAGGTGGGGTTTGAAGATGAGAGAAAAAACATCATATAATTTTTATGACAATATTATGTGTACAATATTTCTTTAAAAAGCACTCTAAAATAACACTGACACTCTTGCATTCAGATGTAATGTTAGGGGTGATAGTTTTGCTCCTACAAAGGATCATTCTTTAAGACTTTCAGGCATTGTCAAATACAAAACATCTCTAGTTTTGCACCTGAAAAATGCTGGCAAAGCCTACATAACAGGGCTTTTGACTCCCCTTGGGAGTCCTCCATCTTTCACATTAAATAAAATAAACTGATTGAATATGTGTTTGCATTTTCAAATAATCATTGGACAGACAAACATGAAAGAGTTTTAAAGTTACTTTCAGTTCATTCAGGGTTTCTAATTTTCCGTAGTCTCTGAAGCTTAAGTGAATGTTCAGCAACAAAAGCTGTGAATCTTTCAGAAACTGATTAAAGAAATAAATCTGAGTTACACTAACATTATTAAAGAAGTGTTATTTACAGAGATGGAAGAGAATATAAATGGATATGGAATCAGAATAGCTAATTTTCTTTGGAATTACTATAACACTTGCAGCCTCTTCTTGTGTATATTACTTCACAAGCAAGTGCTTCCCCTTCCTCCTTTCATGGCTTCAAAAGTCCTGGATAAATTATATCCTTATGGAAAGCTGCCTAGTTGACTAAATAGTCCATGCCATCACAACAGTTCACCCAATCAGAGTTGGAGGCTTTGCTGCTGCAAGCATAATGCAGTATAGATTGGTATAATAAATATAGAATAAGCCACAGGACTAATCCCACTTGTAACAAGTAAATCAATGATTTTATGATATTATTTTAGGTAAAGGGCTTATACTTAACAGCTGCTTGCAAGTAGGCGAGACTGCAGCAGCACTTGCAGTCCTTTAGAGTAGTCAGCATCGCCTTATTCTTGGTCTACATTATTTAATGTTTTGAAGCCCTGTATTTAGTATACACTTATAAAATGATACTACCTGGTTACCTGTGGCAGGTAAGAATCAGGTCCACATGACTAGGCAATGCAAGAACTGGAGGTTGCCCCCAAACTCTTAGATAAAACAGTCGATTAGCAAACTGTTTTATAGTCTACTTTGCAAGGCTTCTATGCTATATGGCTCATTCATTGCTCAAGGTTCCTTTTGTCTCATTGGCGTGCTTGTCCTGTTATGGTTTCTGGACATATCTCTGTGTGACATGGTACTGCTGGTCATATTTGTGATTCGTGAGTGCTGTTTGGGCTGCAGCCTTAGCACTTACTATTGTTGAATTCTTGCACATATTTTTCCTAATATGATTGCCTCACTGAGTCTTGATTAACATGGACAGGATTGTAATTGTTAACTTTTTGCCTGCAGTGCTCATCACACTTGTATTTTGCCCAAATCTGACTTAAGTAAGGCCATGTAGTTTCATCATTCTGAGTTGGCTGCATTGGTCCAGATGATGTTCCACTGTGCCAGTGCAGTGCAAGCAGTTACACATCAGTAGCACAACAGGTGTTGTTACCTGAGTGTCTACTTTTCATAGATAACAAGTCTACAGTTTGATGAGGGTGTGCATCCTGTGGAATGTCCTGGGTTCAATCTCTGACATTTCTATTTAAGAGATTTCACCTAATATTTCACAATTATGGAATGCACTGCTGCAAGACATGGTAGTACAGCTGGCTTAAATTGCTTTAAAGGGATTAGAGCAGTTATTGGAGAATAGATCTGTTAATGGATAAGTGCTGTTCGCATGTTCAATGGAAAATGATGGGGAAAGCATGGAATTTGAGGGTATATTTTGTCATGTATTGTTCATGGGTTTTTATTTACTTCTACGCCGTTCTCTCAGTCTATCATTTCAGCCCAAAGGGTCCCAAGGCAGTGTACAACATGAGCTAGAAACATTGTAAGCCTGTTTAAAAATAGAAGGTTAAATGTGAATGGCCACCAAATAAAAGCAGCCATAGAAAGCATAAAACAGTACCAGCAATTAAATGGCACTGAGATGAACCACAGCTAGCTATACATAGCAGCGAGCTAAGCTAATGCAGTGAAGAAAAGCAGCAATAAAAGGCAAGCCAAAATCTTAGTTAATAAACCTGGGCAAATAACAGGATCGGCACAAGCTAAATAACTATTTTATTATTTAATTAATTTCTACCCCGCCCTCCCCGCCTTGGCAGGCTCAGGGTGGCTTTCATGGAATTTTACATGGGAGATAATTCCACAACTATTGGGGCAATAATTCCACAGCAGAGACCACAGAAGAGGCCTCTGCCTATTTTATGTTGGCTTAGTGGTGGCCAAAGGAGCAGATCCTCTGAACCAGTTCTTACAGAAGAATGTCCTGAACCAAAAGCCTGTAGAGCCTTAGAGGTGAATTAGTGCCTGGGATCTAATCAAGAGCCAGGGAAGATCTTCTAACATTGTCAAGATGTGTGCCATATATTCTGTGTTAGTTAGCAATTTCGCTACTATAGTTAAGGCCAGTGGAAGCTTCCAGAGAGCCTTCAAAGGCAGCCTGTGTTGAGTCTATTGTAGTAGTCTCTCAGCATGTTATTACAGTCGTGGTCAAATCACTTTTCTTAAGGGAGGATTGTAGTTTATTTATTTATTATTTCGATTTATATCCTGCCCTTCCCACAAGTGGGCTAAGAGCATTCTTAAAATAAGCCAGTCAGACAATAAATAACAGTACTAAATTAATACAATTAAACCAATTTAAAACATTTAAAGTGGGCAGTGCAGTATATTCAGTTTCAATTCCTACAGCTGGGAAATGAATGGGCCAGCACCAAGACATAGTGGCCTCATGTAGCAGCAATAATAGGGAGGCCTGCTGGTAGATATCCACTGCCTCAATCAAATCAAAGGCAGAACAGCTCTGTTTTGCAGGCCCTGCGAAACTGTAACAGATCTCGCAGGGCCTTGATCTCAATCAGAAGCATGTTCCACCAGACTGGGGCCAGGGGGCTGAAAAAGCCCTGGCCCTGGTTGAGACTAGTTAGCAAACCAACAGGAGTTGTCTGAAGGAGCTATGTGCCACTTGAGACTTGAGTGCCTGTATGTATGGAAATCGTGCAGCACTCATCTTCATGCCTGCTCTTTGCAGGGTGGGTAAACCCAATCTTAAACAGTCTGACTACACAAAACTTGAGTGCAGAGCCTCTGGATGGGTCCTTTTGGAAATACAATGCCGATCCCTAGGTCTCATCCATCAGAGCTTCTGTTCTTCTCTAAAGTTAAGTGGTATTTATTAGCAAGGACACATTCTCAATGAGAATTGGTTAAATGTGAAATGGTATTTAACTTTCACCAGAAATTAGATATAGTCTAAATAAGGAAACTATATCCAAAATGTATTTCAATGTATGATAATCCACCCTAATTTAAAATGACATTTCTGTGAAATTGAGATCCTTTAGAAGGGTAACTGGTATATTTCTTGGTATAAAATCTGCATTTTGTAAATTCATGCAAGTGTGTTCAGCTTCAAGGAATAACGTTTTTGTGGAAATGGGATGCTTTCAAAATGAAGATGTTGCTTTATTGTTTCATTTTATTTTCCTGCATCATGAACCTTGCAATTTAGAAAAAAGAATCATTAGAAGTTTAAATTATCTTCAGATGATAATTTTATGAAATGTACTTTTAAAATGTGCATTTGCATGATATATACATTTCACTGCCGATGAGTGTCATAGATGCTTAAACTGCTGTTGTGCTTTGAGTCTGTATTAAACTTATAAATGATACTGTTCAGCAACGACTTTTATCACAAGTAATCTTTTCTTGAAAAACCAAGGACAGCTTGTATGCTTTTGTTTTCTAAGTCCATTATATATATATATTTGGAGTTACTTTCACAAGAACATTTTTTGAAGTTGGATCCACAAATGAAGCTTTGGAGTAAAATAGAACAGAAGCTGTCATACTAATAGAAACAAACCATACAACCTAGACTGATTTGTGATTAATGTAGTCTCAAACCTGTTGATACTTATCGTTGTTGTTTGTTGTTACTATTACCGTTGTTATTGTTACTATTATCGTTGTTGTTGTTGTCATCATCTTAAGGCCGTGACCTGGATAGTCCAGGCTAACCTGATCTTGTCAGATCTTGGAGGCTAAAGAGGTCAGCCTTAGTCAGTATTTGGATGGGAGACCACCAAGGAATACCAGGGTCACTATGCAGTGGCAGGCAATGGCAAACCACCTCTGAATGTCTCTTGCCCTGCATGGTCACCATAAGTTGGCAGCAACTTGATGGGGGGAAAAATAGTCTTAAGATAATTTTTAAAAAATACTTGCCCATTGTTTGATAATGCTTGATGAGTCAGTTGATGATTTTGACCTATCATGTGCACAACCCAAATTCTCAGGGATCAAAACTTTTTTTTACTGTTGGGTTGCACACCATTTGGGCATGAAGAATGACAGTTGTTCATAATCATTTAAGATTCTCAGGTCCTTCATAGGCATTTTTGTTTTAATTTTTTAATATTTTTTTATTATTTTCTTTCTACAAACACTACAACACTACAAAACACTAACATACTGCACTAAAAGATAAGCTACACAAGGATCATACAAAATGTTTAGTCATTAGCTTACAACAACAATAATACAGTCCACAGTAAACAATGGCCAAAAAAAACCAGCAAATAACAACTGTGTATTGCACAAACCCGCACCAAAGTTAACAAAAAGAGACTTCAACACAAAGGTAATTCAACACGTGTAATCCATCATAGGAAAATACAAAAGTCCACAATATCCCAAAGGGAAAGAACAAAGTCCAGAATAGAAATTTCTCAAAGGGAAACAATGAAGTCTGGAATAGATATCAACACTTTTCCTAGGTATTGTTCAGTGTTTCCGACCTGGTCCTTCCTCAGGAACAAAAAACCACTACAGGAAGTCTCATTACAATTTCTTAACAGGCAAACTTTATTCAGTTTCTATATGGGCCAGGTCTCCTAAGCTTTAGAAATCACCTACCAAGGTTGCTATTATGTAAGTTGGACCAAACATGCCTCAGGCTTGATTCAATCCAAAATCGCCGTTGCTCCTAGCCCCTTCTACCGCTTAAACAGTTCACTTAAAATTGTGGTGGTGGGGGAACTCCCTCCCACTCCATCGTTAGAGATCAGGGCTTTGGATGGGCGCTTAACTGCATAGCCAGTTAAAGAGAAATAACACTCACGGTTCATTCCATGGTAGCTACGGAGGTACGGAGAACTTTGTAATTTCGCTAGATCACTTGTTCGCTTGTCCGATGTATGCCTCTTGGTGCCATGTTGGCGCCGCGGCAGCGGGACCTATCAGGGCAAAGAGGAGCCTCGATCCCTTGGCTGCGGCTTTGGGAGAGGCACCTCTCACGCCCCAGGCTGGGAGTCCCCTCCAAGGACTCCAAGGAGGTCCGGAATCATCCGGCACCCCTCCCATCTGCCGCATCACAGGCCATTCCTATCGGAGCTCCGAAGGTGCTCGCCTGCCATTCAAGTCACCGAAACTGGAAGAACCTTCATAGACATTTTTTAAATGAAAACTGTTTCTTATTCCATGATTGCTTAGTGCAGTTGCCTCTTGATCGATTTTGTCAAAAGCATTTCAGATTCACAGGTGGTCATTTGTTTCTCTGTGAAGACATCACTGTTGGCGTGCCTAGTTTTAAAACAAAAACCTTGCGTTCTATATTCAGCTTTCTCAATTCCAACCCTCCACATTTATCTGTTTACTATAAATCTGGTTCTGATGGTATTTCCCACACTTACATTGACATATTGATTTAACATGTGGGGCTTATTAGAAAAGTAGATTCATCTGCCAGTTCCAGGGTCTATTTAAACTCAAGTGGCTTGCAAGTATATTTAAGGCAAAATATGTAATGTCTGCTGCTGGTTAAATAACTGCAAAAAATTAAAACAATTGACTTGCAGAGATAGTATTTTGGCTCCTTAGGGTATTTTATTGCTTTTAGATTGGTTTACAATGCTATTCTACTTTTTTATTTTCCCTTCCTTTCTCATTCAACTGTTACGTGTTCCTTTTGATGGCATGAAAGCTTAGTTCTGTTATTGCTAGCTAGTTCTGACCAAAGCTATGGGGCCATGGCTCAGTGGTAGAGCGTCTGCTTGGCATGGATAAAGTCCCAGGTTCAATCCTGGGCATCTCCAGTCTGTAAGGATCTGGCAGTAGGTAATATGAAAGAGTCTGGAGAGCCACTGCCAGTCTGAGTGGACAATACTGACTCTGGTGGACCGATGGTCTAATTCAGTGTAAGGCAGCTTTATATACGTTCATAATAACATTTCATACTTTTCAGGCTGAGACGAAGAAACAGAAAGACACGGAAGTATGGCGTTCTGGACACAAACATAGAAAATACGGAACTGACGCCATTAGAACAAGATGATGACGACGATGACACAACACTGTTTGATGCCAACCATCCTCGAAGGTTGGTAGCCAAGGTTCAGTCTTTTCTTTGTGCCGTAGTAGAGAAGGGATTCTGAAGTGTACGTTTGGTTACCAGGTAGAATGTACGTCACCCTGCATTCATGGTTAAATTAGACAATTTGATATCTTGAATACAATCTACATTGAACACTATATCATAAGAATCTTAGCCTAGCAGCATTTTTAGTTGCTGCTACTAAAATTGCACAGTAAAGTAAATATGTAAATGAAGTTCAGGTAAATTCATTTCTAATTGATACTTGCTTGCAGGGCAGCTCTGTGTTGCTCAAAATGGAGGAAAAAATAATCAAATATGAATATTTGAGGCATAACAACCAAATCATTGCAGACTGTTGATACGAATACAACTAGTTCCCCATGGGGAGGGCACAGGGAGATAACTGAACTTTTATAGCAGCATTTTGGCTTCTGTTTTCCAACAAAACCGAGCAATCTTTTCTCTCTTCAGAATATAGCTAGCTTAATAGAATACTGTTTCCACATTACTTCTAATACATGCTGTCTCACTTCCTAATTTTGCAAAGCAAGTCTATAAACCTAATTGGCATTCATGGTTCCTTCTCTGTTTACTGCTTCAGGTTTAGAAATGGTCCCTTCACTATAGTATCGCTCATAATCTACAGGACAGATTTTCCAGTTGATTTTCAAATTTGTTTTTAACTGATGTCTACCAAAAGAACATTTTGATTTGGAAGCTTTTATTTATGTGGCACTCTTATGTATTTGAAATTTGCAAACAGGTTCAGGGATCCTAACAGATTACACTGGAACTGTGGAGGGCCAAGCCGTATGCTTACAATGTAGATACAGGTGTGTGGGGGTTGATTTTAATGGAGAGGTGAGATGGAGTGGAGCTCAACCCTTTCATTGTTTTCTCAAACTCTTTTTGCTTCTTGGGGCCTTCTAGAAAGAGAGACCATAAGGAAAATGATAAGCATAAACATTCCTTGCCATTTCGTTCAAATCATGCCTTTCCTGCCAGTTCTTCACCACTGAGAAGCTGCCATCAGGCTAGTTCTGTGGCTGCCTCATAAATATAGAGTTTGGCCTGGAGAATAGAATGTATTGATGCTTCAGATGTGAACTTGTTTCAGATTAGACTGTCTTGTCTGGCTTTAGTAAATATAGCTTGTGATGGTACTGAGAGTTCTATTCAAGAGTCCCCAGGGCTGATGCCAGGTTTTTTGCACACTAGGCGAGGCTACTTCTGGTGCGCCCCCTCCCCCCGGTGCGCCCACCAATTTTCAAACATAAATGCATTTTAAGAGGAATGAAAAACACAACATTTGAAATTGCTAATTTCTTTTTTCTTTCTCCTTTGTCTTTGTTCTGTCTCAAAGTTTGGTAGTATTTCTAGCTCTTTTGCAGTCTCAGTAACATCTACCTAAACTTGTTCAAAATCCTCATCACACCTACAGGCTACAAGGTATACCTCATCACACCTATAGCCCACAAGAATACATTTTGAGCGACACCGCTATTCCTCTCCCTCTTCGTCTCCCTCCCTCTCAGGAATCTAGATAAGGGACTCTCATTTTCAATGCTGTGAATTCTAAACAGTGTCCTTTTTTGTCAGACAGTTTCAAAGAGCTAGAGGGAATTTTACCACACAAACCAAGATCATGCTGTCAAACTATGCTTCCAAATTATGTAGCACATGTACTCAATTCTAACATTATATATTTGTATGTACAATTATACAGTTCTGTATGGATACTATCAGAAGATTCTTGTTTCCAGCAAGGGCTAAGGATAGATCAGTGCAAAGCAGAGTAGAGCTCCCCTCTTGTATAAAGTTGAATGTTGTTCCACACTTCCTTCATCTCCAAACCCAGAACATAAATACCTACATGCTTCTCTAATGTTACATCTTTCTAGCCTTGTATATTGCTTGGGGAATAAGGATTGTTTCTTTTAAGATTCTCTCTCTGTGTCTCATTTTCCTTTTTAATTGGAGACCTGTATCAGATTTGTCAAACTACTCTGCATGTTACAGATACCTGAAGAAGTGTGCTTGCACACAAAAGCTTATACTTTGAATAAATTTTGTTGGTCTTAAAGGTACCACTGGACTCAAACGTTGTTCACACCAGAAGCGAGTAAAAAGATGCAGAAAGGGCTTCAATGGGAATTTTGTCTGAGTGCGTTCCTTGTCTCCTAGCAAGCTACAGCAATCTCTCTGCCAGGGAGGAGACCAGCACAAGATGAAGAATGTAAACTATGGCTAATGAAGGCCCAACAGGAGTGTGCCTCAAACTACTTTGCATGTTACAGATACCTGAAGAAGTGTGCTTGCCTCAAACACATGGCGATAGATGGATCTCACATGCACCTTAGTTTATCTGCGCTCCTCCTCCCTGAGGACCAAGGCACTAAAAGGCCCGGAGCAAAGACCGAAGGCTGGGGTACTTAGGTCCTGCCTGTCAGGCAGCCAAAAGACCAGATGTCTCACTTGGCCGCTCTCTGTCTCTGCCTGGAGCCCACCTGCTCTTCCCGGAGAAGGGGGAAGTGCGTGTCCGGGCAGGGAGCAGCATCCACCCGGCACCCGGCTCGCCCTTACCTTCGCTTGCCGTGGTCCTCGTAGGCACTGCTGAAAAGCCCGCTGAAGCCTCTGTCGATGTTCAAGAGGCTGTCGAAGGTGAGGCGCAGCTCATAGAGGGCGCCAGAGTGCAGCTTCCCATGCAACTCCAGCACCGTGAACTGGTGGCCCTCGGCCAGCCACACCTTGGCCAGGGGAGCACGGCTGGCATTGGGGCTGCTGTCGGGCCTGTCCAGGTGGCGCAGCTGCGGGTCTCAACTGACCCGACATGCTGCAGTGGCAGGGCGGGAGGTGAGAGCTGCAGCGCTTGGCCCTTCCTGGCCCAGCTGGCAGGGGAGGAAGGAGAGGCTGAGGAGGGAGGGAAGGAGGGAGAGGCCTGGCCTTGCTCCACTTGCAGCACCCCCATGCCTGCCTGCCTGCCTGCCAGGGAAGGAGAGCCCGAGAAAGGCGGAAGGCCCGACTGACACTCGACTAGGTGGCCCCCGCCAGGCCCGTGCACTGTGCCCCCTTGTGCACACACACATCCCGTCTCGTGCGCTCGCTGGATGTGGCTGGTTTCCTTTCCCGCCTCACAGCACCAATTGAGGAAAGGGTGCCAATGGCGTTGCGCCCATGGCTTCGGCGGGGCAGAAGGCCAAGGGCTAACGGAGCAGAGCAGGGCTTTTGACGAGGGGGAGAAGGGGGCAGGGCAGCAGTCCAGGGTGGCATCCTTCTATGTTCACGCCCTTAGGCAACTGCCTTACCTCGCCTTATTAAAGTGTCGGGCCTGCCAGTGCCTCATAAAACTAGAGTTCCTAAGAGATTCTTTATCAGAAAATATAATGTAACAATTTAAAACTACCTTAAGATTGTAATGCAGATGTAGTCCAGTGGAATACATGGTACGCATAGTTTGAAACTTTGAGTCCAGTGGCACCTTTAAGACCAAGAAAGTTTTATTCAAGATGTGAGCTTCTGTGTGCATGCACACTTCCTCAGACACTTTGAAATGGAAGTTATCAGTCCATACATATAGATAGTGAATAGCAAATTAATATATAGCCTAATAAAGTTGTTTAAACAGATGAGGGAACCAAACAGGGATAACTTTGGGGGCCTGCATTGGCTGTGGAGTGTAGGATATGCAGTTTAACAGTAAAATATATGTTCTGAAATGTTTGTTGGTGGTCACAGTGACAGATATTGCAAGCACTATAGACAACAGTATTTCACTTACCTGCTTATAAACCATACACCCTCATAACTATTAGTGTAAATAAGCACTGAGAATTTTCTACCCAGAAAATCCTGGTAAATTAATTTACGGACTGGAAAATCTAAAACTATGGAACCCTTGTGAAAGTTCTTATTCTCAGATGCATGCTAATGTATTTTGGCAAAAAATGTGTTAGCTCTACTTTCCAAAAGTAGACTTTCCAATAGTAGACAGTTACATAGCTGCACAGGTTATTATATGTGCTATAAACATGAAATAAGTAAATGTCTGCAATTCTCTGGTTCAAGGCAACCAATGATATAAATGTTGAAGTAAAGGAAATAACTTGGAAAACCAGGGTTTTCCTCATGCATGCCATTACAAGAAAGTGGCTGTAAAAGCAACCTAAACAACTTCTAATAACCAAGAATCACTTTCTTTATTGAGCTGTATGTATCCCATAAGTAATCACTTGTAGCATGTAGTGTAGATAAATTATGCCCCAAAACTGCACTGTTCACCGAAATAAACTGCTGAATGGTCTGAATAACAATTGCTTTGGCGGTTCTGATTTCACAGAAAAAATAAACTGCAGTTCTTTGATCATTGCTGGGCATGGCATGATTAGAAGGGAAGTGCTGTGTAGCAATAGAAGAGTGGGAAATAAGAGAGGATCAAAATATGAACCGTTTCTGTGGAGTTAGTTTTGTCATTGTAGTCAGTTCTCTAATAAAATCTTGCAGCTGTGAGCTTCAACTCAGTTATGGAAGAGCACTTGTGCTTTGGGATAAAATCTTCTAAAATACAAGCATGTCAGCTTATTGCTTTGCAGATATTTACTGGGCTGTGACAGGAGCTGCTTTTCTGCAGTGTGAAGTCTGTCACCACATTGTGGGGTGGGGGGATGGAATATGCATAGGGCGAGGCTGGATTTCAAGGCTCTGAGTGTGGACCCTCTGTCAGGGTAATGTTCAGTCCAAAACAAGGATATTTCCCTCTTCCCTATTCTGTTCTCTCTCATGGGGACCTCAATCTGTGTTCTCTGGAGGTTCAGCAGTGAATATTTTGTGAACGCGGATACTTTTTTTTATTCTTTACAAATATGTGTACATTGAAATTTTGGGAAACCAAGCATGTTGTATGCTGCATGAGTTTGTAAATTATGAGACCATGAATAATGTGTCTTTGCTGTAGCTTTGCCCTGATCTGGATGGCTTAGGCAAGCCTAATCTTATCAGAAGCTAAACAGGGTCAGCCCTGGTTCGTATTTGGACAGAGAGCCAGGATGGTGTAGTGGTTAAGACTCTAACCAGATTCAGTTCCACATTTCTCCAAATGAAGCCAGCTAGGTGACCTTGGGTCAGTCACAGCTCTCAGAGGAACTGGGGAATAAGTGGCTTGCCACCTAGTGGTGCAATGTGAAAAGAGTTAGAACTTAAAGCAGCCAGACCGTCTTTGGATCTCCCAACTGTACCACACACAGTGCCATATGATAATTAATTAGTACTTGGATGGGAGACCACCAAAGAAGTCCAGGGTCGCTACTCATAGGCAGGCATCTCTTGCCTTGAGAACCCCAAGGGGTCACCATGTCGGCTATGACTTGATGACAGTTAACACGTATATTGTGTGCTGAGTTGGGGGATTTTGCCTTGGGACCATTTAGTTGTGTTGAACGTTTTCCATAGTACACTTTTTAAACCTTTCTTCTTCTTTGCAGATAAGTATGTGCCTTTCAGGAAACTCTTCAATTGTGGCGCAACAATGGAGGCTGTCCCGAAGGAATCAGAAGCCAATTTGGGGGTTGGAGGTATATAAGTGAGATATACCTGTTACGGCATCCTTAGCTTGTTGCTGTAGACACTGTAACATTTTACTGTACCTTTGTATATACAGAAATATTTTAAGTTTGGAGCCTATGGAAACAGTGCACTATACAAACTCCATTTAAATACGGTATTTCCTGCTGTGTTAATTCTGTATTGTGGACTTCCTTCATAAAACACTGAACTGAAAAGCAGTTTTTGGGTTTCTTGGCCAGCCTTTTTAAAAAATATATCAAGCATAGTAATGTGTGTGGATTGTCTGCCGCTAGATTTTCATTTTCTAGAGATACCGTCTCTGTTTTGGAAACACCAAATCTAACTACTGATGTGGGTAGTTTTCTTATTTAAACGAGATGTGGGTTGTTGGATGTGCACTGTCAATCTGTGTAAGTGATACAAATAAATACTTAAAGTATTGCTAACATTTGTCTGTTTTCTGTATCAGTTGATGTTGGATGTTATGACTTAGCCATCTGGAAATATGCTAATATTAATCAAACAAGGCTTGTTTGGAAGCCATTTCTGATTGTCTTTTGTTGGCTGAAAGTCACCCTAAAAAACAAAAAATCCTTTGGAATAATATGTGTGATAAGGTGCCCCCCCCCCAGCCGGTATAATAATAATAATAATTTTCAATTTATTAATCGCTCAATCCTGCAGAGCTGCTGGCTCTAAACGATTTACAGTTACACATATTAACAAGGGACTAACAATGATTCGTGGGGGGTAAGGGAGGACAACATATACATCTTTAAGTCACACACGTTTGCAGTCGACGGGGTTTTTTGTTCAGCTGTAGACTTAGATGTGTTCCAGACGGCATTCACTCGGCTTGGCTTGATGACGTCAGTTTTTCCAGGACTGCTTCGAGTCGCAGCGTCGCACTGCCACCGCCTGGCCGGATTGGCCCATCGCAGGCTTCTTAATGTTGAAGAGATCTTTCCAGGCTTCTGAGCTTCCGAGCTGGACATTCCGTTTCACCGGCTAACACCTCCCCCCACCGGGGGGGTTTAGTGTGCCCACCCTCTCTAAGGAGTGGTACCCATTTTATCTACTTGCCGAAGCTTTTGAACCGCTGGGAGGACGCCGAGCTGGGGACAAGGCTGGTAGCTCACACCAGCGTGCACTAGAACTGACAGCAGTTCTGTTCAGTTCAGATCTTACTGTAACCAGAGGATAAATCCTCTGTGCCACCGCTCCCCTAATATAAATCAATCAATCATAAGCTTGATTGCATTAGCTCACAGCTGTTGCAATTAACACCAAAAATACCAACAACAGCAGAGCTACAATGCAACCAGGTATAAATCAATGGAACTGTACTTTAAACCTGCTAATTACTTTAGAACACACAAACTAGTTAGAGAGGGAGCTACTATAATGTCATCAGTTAAATTGAAAGCATGAAAATAACATTAAAAGCACTACATTATGCCGATGCTGATTGGAAGGCTGATATTCTGGAGCAAGGATCCCCAGCGTGCTGCCCAATGACACCTTTCCTGGTGTCCGCCAAGTGTCTTTAGAAAGTGGGTGGGGCCAGCTGGGGCTCCTGTGCAGAAGGACTTCTGATTGACTACTGCAGATCCGCTGGGATCATACTAAAAGATTTACAGTCTAATCACGCATGATTTTCTCATTTATTATGTTTGAGACTTATGCCTTTAAGTGGTATTTGACCTTGAACAATCCATTCTCTCCACAGTGTATTTTGTTTTTGTCAGTATATCTCTGTGGTCCCGTTGTATTTAGAGTGATCTGCTGGAATGGGCTGGTTAGAATAACATTGTTTTGGCGGCAGCTGCCACTGCAGTGTTGGTTTTGTTCTTTCCCACACTCCTTTTTTTGTATTTTTTTAAAAATATTTATCTTGTCCCCTGCATGTGGGCTTCCTCAGCTTCCTGCAGCAGCCATTTTGTAGTTGTGCCCACCACCCTGTGTCAGAATTCCAAAGGTGCCCACAGACTCCAAGAGGTTGGAGACTCCTGTTCTAGAGTGACTGAATCTGCTTGTCCTAGTGAGTTTGGTGTGGACGCTAAGAGAGTGGACTCTAATCTGGGAGAACCAGGTTTGATTCCGCACTCCTCCACATGCAGCTGCTGGTGTGACCTTGGGTCAGTCACAAGTTCTTTCAGAGCTGGGCTCTCAAGGACAGTTCTCTCAAGAGGTCTCTCAGCCTCACCTACCCCACAGGGTGTCTGTTGTGGGGAGGAGAAGTGAAAGGAGATTGTAAACTGCTCTGAGACTCCCTTCAGGTAGTGAAGGGCAGGGTATAAATCCAATCTATCCTTCTTCTTCTAGATCAAGTAATGCTGGCTTTTCCAGAGCAGGTTAAGAGTTTGGAAGCATTTATGGACGTTGCCTTGCTGTTTGAAAAGCAGTTTGGCATGGTGACCAGTAGCATTTACTATCAGCTGATTCACCAACGTTCTTTTTACCTAGACTCAGCTGATCTGGCGATTCTGATCCATGCTTCTCTAACCTCATGGTTGGATTACTGCAACACATTCTACTTGGGGCTGCCCTTGAAGGTGACCCAGAAACTATATTTGGTCCAAAATATAGCACTGCTGTCAGGGAACATATGTAGCCCATTTTGAAACAGCTGCCAGTCTGTTTCCAAGTTCAGTTCAAGGGGCCGGTTATGACCTTTAAATCCCTTCATGACCTAGGACCTACATATTTGAAGGACCATCTCCTTCCATATGTCCCTGTGTGCCAACTGCAGTCATCAGGCAACCATCCGTTGGCTATTCTACCACTTAGGGTGGCCCCTCTGACATTGATGAGAGCCTGGGCCTTTTCTATCATGGCTCAAGCTCGGTAAAACGGGCTCCCCAAGGTGCTGAGGGGGGGCCCTCCTTGGAGATCTTCAGGAGGTGCTGCAAGACATCTTTTTTTAAAATCATATCTTTGGTTTTACCTGAAGATGGTTTAATTATTATTGTAAGTCCTCCTTGAACCAAGAGGAAAGGTGGGATATAAATATTTTTATAAATAAAAGTTATACAGAACTATTAAAAGATCTGTCCTTATGTATGCAGCTGGAAGCTTTTAAAGAGAAAGCAATTATAGATGTCCACATTTAGCATAGGTTGACACAAACATGCTGAGCTGTAATCATTTTTTAATTTGACACATGAACAGCATGATGCACAAAACAGTATTTAAGCCTTTATTGCATTTCCCATTTCACTCTAAATGTCTCAATCTGCAGGATTCACATGATGTAACATGGCTCCACCACCCACTCACTAAACTCTTCCATTCAGTTTGATTAAACTGAGTTAAAACCCAGGTCAGTAGTTTGGATTTTGCTAGAGTTACGTGCCTCATAGATGCATGGAAATGAAGTATTTGCAAATGTTTCTGAAACATGGGGAAAGAGCCTCAAGTTCAACTTGATTACATTGACACAATTTTCATAATGGTTTTGCCTGTATGATGAATGTCAATTTTATAACTTCGAATATCTGAAGCAGGAATTGAAGAATTGGGAAATCTTTACAGTGAGTGACTGTAACCAGGATTCTTAGTGTTTCACAAACTCATAATTAAATTCTAGAGTAGCTGATGATTCATGAATGGGATCAAATGGTAAAAGTAAAACAAATTGCTATTAAAATATATGTTAATCGTTAACAACTAATTCTAATGTTACTTTACTCACAGTGCACTTTGACATGTGTACCAGTACAAATGTCTAAGAGAGAAGATACGCATAATTAAGCTTGGTATTCACAGTTGTTTAGTCGCACAGTCGAGTCTGACTCTTCACGACCCCATGGACCACATCACGCCAGGCCCTTCTGTCTTCCATCATGCTCTGGAATTTGCTTAATTTCATGTTCATTGCCTTGATAACACTGTCTAACCATCTAATCCTTTGCCGTCCCCATCTTCTTTGACCTTCAATCTTTCCCAGCATCAGGGTCTTCTCCAGTGAGTGCTCCCTTCTCATTTGGTGGCCAAAGTATTTGAGCTTCAGTATCTGGTCTTCCAGGGAACAGTCAGGGTTGATTTCTTTTAGGATTGACTGATTTGATCTTATTGCAGTCCAAGAGACTCTCAAGAGTCTTCTCCAGCCCCATAGTTCAAAAGAATCTATTATTCAGCGCTCGACCTTCCTTATAGTCCAACTCTCGCAGCCATACAGTACTACTGGGAATACCATTGCTTTGACCATATGGACTTTTGTTGGCTGGGTGATGTCTCTACTTTTTATTATTTGAATCTGTCCCTCTCCATAGCTTGCCCTGTCCCTTTGGTGGTGAAATTCTTCTCTTAGCCTGGACCAAAGGAGGGATGGTGCCAGGCCTGAGCAGGATTAGAACAGAAGTGTTGGATGGGTCAAAACAGAGTTGGAAAGTCAACTGAGAGATGGTTTAGTCCCTGTTTTAACTTACCGACAGTTTAGAAGAATAAGGATTTCCTGAGCCTGCTCCGGTGGGTAGGGCGGGGTATAAATCAAATAAATAAATGTTACTTCTATTATCTGAAGTTAAATCAAAAGGGATTTTCCTTGCTAGTAAATGTTTTGCAGTATATGCTTAATTCTAATGTTAGGATGTAGAAAGAAACTATGAAGAACCTTATTCCTGTATTTACACAAGTATTAATGTGAAGTGTGTCTCTGTCTGGCAAGGATCTTGTGATGTGTTTGCCTGTGGTGACAGAGGTCTTCATCATTCTTTGTAATCTCTTTCCTGTGTCTAAAATGGAACTGTCAGTGTGTCACCCAAAACTGAGGATGCTGCCAACTGCAAGAAGGCTCATGTCCTGTCTGGAGAACAGAAACACAGACTCCCTAGAGTCTGCTTGGCCCGAAGAAACACAATAGTCTGGGCCAGCTAGCATGAACACCCTGTGAATGGTCTCCAACACCTCTAGATAGGCCTCCCAGTTCCCTGCTGAAACAACCAATGGAATAGAGTTGAAATGTATTAAAGGACTTCCCAGCTGTTGCTCTTTCTTCTGTTTCTAACCATTACTGGAAGAGTGAAGATGAGATGGAATCCCATCAAAGAAGTTAGATTTAACCTAAGAAATATGTCATGTTTTATATTTCTCTGCTTTTAATTTTACCATACTCCATTTGACCCTACCCCCAGTTAGATTTGATTTCAAACTTCATGTGTGTCATTTTTATCATGCCTCTAAACAAATTATTTTCTTTTTAATGAAATAGGTGTTGCTATAGGTCTTTGGGCATTCAGCCACAACCTCAAACTGCTCAAGAAGTGCTACCTCAAGGAGGGAAGGAAAAACTCAGCTTTTCCTCAGAGGTCCCTTCAGCCCGTAAAAGTCTTAAGAGGAGTGAAAAACAAGTGTGTGGGTGTCCAAAGGTATCTTCTTCAAAGCATACAGTA